CACACACACACACACACACACACACACACACACGTGTCTGTTGTACATACACTGTCAGTCTACTGTCTTCATCTAATGCGTCTCTCTCTGTCTGCCCGCTCGCAGGTTATCGGCTGTCAGGACAGAGACTGGCCAACTTTGAGGGGCAAACTCAGCCATTTGGAGGGACAGAGATGTTGTGGCAGGACAAGCATGCAGCCCTGACTTTCATGTCATTACTGCTGCTACTGTGGCAGGAAGCAGCACCCATTGAAGTCCCAGAAGACCGTAAGTCACCCAAAGCTTCATCAAAACTATAAAGATGCTAGCTGTAGCTCCACACCTCACTTTTCTAACAGTTAGTTCAGTGTGATGTTTTTAGGGCCTGGCTTCAGCTCACCGTTTAACCCTTTAAGCATTTACTTCTGACACAGCGTGATACCGAACAAACAAGCTCTGCTACTCCCCTTATTTGTAAAGGGGAGATCATCAACGTAATGCAAGTGTGGCGAGCAGTGGAAGTGACTCATGCAGTTATTGTGAATGTAACATCTGATAGTGTTTCTATTGTATCCTCTACCCACATGAGCATGTTTGAGAGAATCCATGTCAGGTTGTTTTAGTTTATTGTTTGGGTGAAAAGTGAAAACATCCTTTGAGAGCAGGTTGGAGCTTTTGGGAGATACTTGGAAATTATTGACAACAAAGTTCTTAACAGCAGCCTCACTGACACCAAAATCAACTCGTTTGCATCCAAGTTTAAAATAGTTTTCAGGACGTTCCAGTGTATCCATCTCAGTAAACTAATTACTGAGTCCAGCGAGCGCGTTTTTGTACTAAGAGTCTACAAACTAAATAAATAATTCTTATTGTACTCTTCACATAACACAATCTTCTGTATATTTCCTTTGGTAAAGTGCTGTAATAGTATGTTGTCTCTCTGTCCCACACTGCTTGTCCTTTCCTGGCATGTGAACTCACTACAGGTAAGTCTTTATCCACTGTTCCTCATTCGATTTCACCAGAGTTCCCACTCCTAGGTTTTTTTTTAAAGCACTAATATAGTAGTAGTAGTAATGGGTGGCACGGTGGTTAGCACTGTTGCCGCACAACAAGAAGGTCCTGAGTTCAATTCCACCATCAGGCCGGGGTC